TCTGGAAACTTGGGAAATTTGGGATTCAAAGATGAGGTCTGAATCTCTGTCCTCAAAGGGGGGGGGAGGGTTTGGGGTGTCTTTTTCTTTCTTTCTTCCTCCTTCATTTTGTTTTCATCTCTTCTCTTTCTTTCCTATTTTATGTTGTATTGTATTTTATATTGTATATTTGTTTGTAGTTGATTAAAAAAAGAATCAATGCAGTTCTGGAGAAGAGAACAATAAAAGAAGAGGAAGAATATAGATGGAAGATGAAGATTATAGCAAGAGGTCCCGTCTACAGTGGTGGGGGACACAGTTATATTGTATTTTGATTTGTGTATTTTATGTCTATGTTTATGTTTTAGATGAATAAAATTTTTTAAAAAACCAACGTCCTTTCTCAATATTGGGGTGCCCGGCCAAAGCGTTCCTTGTCTGTGGGCTTCCTCAACGGGGCGCTCCTCACCGCGCATATGGTGCCACAACACGGGTGGCGGGCCCAAAGTGGCTTGTTGAAAGTGGGATCTGGCTGCAACACCTTTTTCCAGGGACCTTGCGCCCTCAGGAAAACCACCACCATCCATTCAGATGTCTCTTTCATGGTCACTCCTTCCCTCTCAGGTAATGGATCTGGCAACAAGCCCCCCGCCTTCAGATTTGGAAAGTCTTTTAATAGGTCGCTGACATGATCACTCTTCTCCTCCTTTCCTCTCTTACTGGTCTCGATCTAAATGTCCCGTGTGCCTGTTCCCACTTTTATATCCTCTTCCCATACATCGATCATTTGCTCCTCCTCCTTTCCCTTCCCTTCTTCAGTAAGATAGACCTCTATCTTAACCCTTTCTTTGTCACCCCTTGGCCTTAACACCTCCCTCTCCCTTTCCTTGCCCTTTACATCCTTGTTGTCTGGAAGAGACGGTGCACTCTCGTCCTCCTGGCCTTCACAAGTACCTTCCCATCGACATGTTACCCCCTTCATCCTTCAGAAACTGAGGGCATTATAACCTCCACTTCACTTACAGATAGAGTGGTGCCCCGCTTCACGACAACCCCGTTAGATGACGAAATCACATTACGATGAGTTTTTTGTGATCACTATAGCGATCGTAAAACAATGTTTTTATGGGGTTTTTTTGCATGATGTCGTTTCAGTCCCTTCTTCGGGAACCAATTTTTCGCTTTACGACAATCTTTACAGCTGATTGTCAGGTTTTGAAAATGACATCCCACTGTTTTCCAGACCTATTTCTGGAAGACAGCGATCAAAAATGGTTTCCCCTATGAAGAATATTCGCTGGACGTGCAGGTATTTCCCCCACTGGAACGCATTGACTGGTTTTCAATGCATTTCAATGGGTTTTTTTTTTCACTTGACGATTTCGCTGTACAGCGATTTTGCTGGAATTCATTATCGTCGTGAAGTGGGGCACCACTGTATGGGTGAAGGAAAGGGAGGAAATAGACTCCCCTGAGCATCCCTGTCTGCCCAGGAGAAAAGCAATCTTCAGCAGAGAATGGGCCAGCCATTGAGAAGAAAATTAAAATGAGGGGAAGTAGAGAAAGGGGAAAGACTTGACAGAGGAGAAAGGAGACTCACAAAAAGGAGAAAATGTGACAGTAAGGGAAGTAAAGGAACAGAAAGAATGATAATTCTGGAAATTTCTGGGGAAGACCAGTGAAGGGCGTAGAGGGAGAAGAGAGGACTCATGGAATCCCACCCAGGAGATGATTGAGAGGGGAACCTCAAGCACAGGAGAAAGGGAATGAGTCGAGAGGAAGAGATGCCGAGGAAAACTGGGCTCAACATCCAGACTCTGACTCCTTATGTACGGGCTGATGCTCATCTCCTCCCCAAACCTGTCTAGAGGACCAAAATGTCCACCAAAATGACTCGTCATAAGGTACCCTAGGATGATAAGGCTTTTTATGTCATTGCCCTTTGACTCCGAGTGAGAACCATTTGAATTAGTAGTAGAGAAGTTACCAAAGCCATTCAGAAAGATTGGATCCCTTGAGCATGAACAAAACACCCTCCATCCTTTCTAAGGGGCGGGTGGGTGGAGGAGTAAGGGGGGAAAATGAAACCCACTCACAGGGCGAGGAAAGGCATTAGTGACTTTGCAGTTGCCAGCAAGGAATCCTGAGCAGGGATCTCTAGTGGATTTCACCTCCCATAATTCTAAGGCCTTCCCACTACCTTCCTCCATTTTTAGGCAACTATGTGTTGTTTTGGCCTGGAACTGTCCTATTATTTGGATTCTAACATCAGCCGAAAAGTGCCAAACAAGACTCAGTGGGGGGCTAGGTGTTAGGAAACCAGATTTTGAATCCCACCCCCCTTTGTCACGGAAACTCAATGAAGACGCTTGGCACTAGTAAAACCACTCCTTTAACACATAGTTAAAAACTCTGTTAGGGTTGTTGTAACTTGGAAGCAACTTGACACACATAACTTAAAGACAGTGTTAGCAGCTTTCCTGTAAAGAGGCTCAGCATTTCCACACTCACACAGTCAGGATTCCTATTTCCGTATTTCATGTAGTCTAAAAAGACTTGGTTGCAATCGGAGAATTTATTGGTTTCATGGCAATTTTCATAAAACGATGAAGTTAAAATCATGATAAAACCATTGAAGTAAAAGACACAATTGCTGCAAATAAAGATTCACAGAGCACGAGGCAGGGAGAGCCACAAATCACATCCAGTCTTTGTCACTCTCTTCCGACATGCAGACGTTGAACCAGAGCATACCCCAGTTGACCATCTCCTTCCTGATGTAGAATGTGCTCAGGAATGTGGTGTGTAAACCTTAGGAGGAAGAGAACATTTCCTCCAAAGGATTTCCACATTCAAAGCCACCATAACGTTTCTTTCCAAAGTGCCTTCGTAGATCCACAAAGGCTTAAGTCAACAGTAGAGCTCTCACTGTCCCTTGAATCTCTGAATGTTTTTTTCCTCAGGAGAGATATTCAGATGGCGTTTCAGAAGTTTAAGGTCATTTTGCAGAATCTTCAGACTTTCTCCTTTCTGTGCATATACTGATATGTGATGTTCTGGGCTCTGCAAGCAAGCTTCTCCCCACATTCTCTCCGTTTTGGACATTTTGAGTGGAGTGAATTTTCTTGTGTTCTCTCAGACTGAACAACCAGAGATATCTTTCCCCGCATTCCTCACATTCATGTGGTTTCTCCCCAGTATGTTGTTGATGTTCTGTGAAGGGTAACTCAGCTGGGAAGCTTATCCAACATTCTTCACAATGATAGGGATTCTTCCGTGAATGTGAGTGCTGATGTATAGTTAAATTGCAGAGATGTGTGAAACATTTCCCACATTCATCGCATGCATACGGTTTTTCTTTGGAGTGACTTTGTTGGTGTACTGTGAGGTTAGAGTGTTTGGAGAACTTTTCTCCGCCTTCTTCGCATTGATACGGCTTCTCTCCTGTATGGTGGCGCTGATGTGCTCTAAGATCTTTGTTCTGGTTGGAGCTTTTCCCACATTCTTCAGAACAATAGAGTTTCTCCCCTGAATGACGGCGCTGATGTACTTTCAAAGCTGACGGATCACTGAAACTCTTCCCACATTCTTTGCATGTATAAGGTTTTTCCCCTGAGTGAATTCGTTGAAGAATGGTGAGGTTTGAACAGGAGCTGAACGGTTTGCCACATATATTACATTGTTAGGGTTTCTCCCCTGAATGTGAGCGCTGATGTGCTTTCAAAGATGAGAGAAAAGTGAAGCATTTCCCACATTCCTTGCATGCATACGGTTTTTCCCCTGAGTGAATTCGTTGATGTACTACAAGCTTTGATCGTTTGGTGAACCTCTTCCCACATTCTTCACAGGGAAAGGGTTTCTCTCCTGTATGAATTCGTTGATGTACTCTGAGACTGGAATGCCACATGAAGCCCTTTCCACATTCATGACATTTGTGGGGACACTCCTCAGTGTGCATTCTCTGATGTTGCTTAAGTCCAGAACTTGACTTGAAGGTCTTGTCACATTCTTCACACTTATACAATTTTCCTTCTGAGTGCACCGGCTGAGTGACTTGAAGAGCTGAGGTAACACTGAGGCATCTTTCAGACCCTGAGTCTTCATAATGTTTCTCTCCTGTGGGAAATCCTGGATCTTCTCGGTTCCTTCTGGAACTCTCTCCATGGTCCAAACAGTGACACAGACTTTCCTCTGAGTGGCATGTTGGACATTTCACTGGGCTTTTCCTCAGAGGGCTCCTTAGCCCAAACTCTGAGCTCTGAGGAACATTGAGATGCCTGTTTCTTGTCTTTTCCTCTTCTTCTTCACAGACAACTCCTCTCAGATAAGGGTGAGGCTTGTTTTTCCTCTGCCTTCGTGATTCATCTCTGTTCCCACAATTCTTGTTTTCATCCGGAAGGTGGGGTGGGGCCAAAGGTGTGGGTTTACTCATGAGTAACGGCTGACAAAGGAGCTGGTCTACTCATGAGTATGGGCTGCCAATGGCACGGGTCTACTCACAAGTAAGCACCATAGGAGGCACGGGTGTATTCATGAGTAAGCACCACCAAACACCCTGGTCGGGGCGCGCAGGTCAAAAGAGGTCCGTGTATGGGGCATGCAGCAGCAGGAGAAGCGGCCGGGTGCCTGGTGCTTTGTAAGCCGGGGAATCCTCCAAGGGTGTCAGTGAGGGTGGGGTGGGGCCTTCTGAGGCCTGGGAAGGCAACTATGGGGCAGGGGTGGGCAGTATTTGCTCCATAAGCGAATACTGCCCACCCCCGCGAATACTCACACAGTTTTCCCTCCACTTTTTTGGGGGGGGATTGCGTCTTATGGAGCAAAAAATATGGTACCGTAGAAGAAAAGGACTTTTAAACAAACATCATGAAGGTATTTTTTACTAAGTGTTATTTAAGTGTTCTGAATACAATGGATCAGCTACTGTACCAGCGAGATCACTGAACAATTGAACAAAAACAATTCTTGACAATCTCCTGTTCCATTTTGCTTCCCACTCCGTACACAAGAGGCATGAAAACATTAAGGAGTTGATTTACGTGTCCAACCGAAAAAGGGAAAGGGTAAACCATCTCTGAGTACACTACATCTGGGATAGGGGTGTTGTGATTCAAAATAGACTTTACAGCACATTAAAAAGATGAAAAATCAGCTTAACTGAGGCATTACGTGTCTAAGGTACATTGCTGGTGCAGTCACCCAATTAGAACGAATCAGAAGTTACACATAAAGTTATTATAAAACAGAGAAGTGATGAGGGGTAATCAAGACAAAAGTATACAATGATTAACGTGCAGAGGGAAACAGAATACCTTTGTCCCGACTCCAAGGATGAAAGGCTCCCCATTTCCTTTGTGTAAAAGAATCCATCCCCTGAAGATTTGGAGATGCCTCCGATATGCCTGAGTTGAAAGCAGGAGCTTCTTCTCCGTCATCATCTTCTGGGTCCTCCGGGCTCTCCAACTGCTTCTGCTCACCCTCAAGAAGAGTTCCTGGCCTTCCAGGTATGC